AGAAGGAGGAGCCGGTCAGAAACTCGGAGGGTCTGTGCATCAAAGCAGAAACCGGTGAGTGATGAGCAGCTGGATTTCCATACGCTGACCTGAAGCTTTCCACTATTCTTCACATTACAACCACAAACTCTTAAAGATTTCACTGCAATTCTTTGGTAAATAGCAACAAAAAGTGGCTATGTAAACTTTTCTCCTGATTTAATATTAGGACCTGAATTAAATTTGATATTTTTTAAGATTTTATTTACAAAGTTCACAAATCCCTGGTTCCACATAAATACCTTTGTCCATGTCTTTGAGTTTTGGTATGATGTCAGCTTCCCTTGTACGAAGAAATAAGTCAACCTGTTCACCTGTTAGGCTTCCAAACTCAGTCCAGCTATAACAAAGGAAAGCAAAAGATTTTTTTAGAAAACTAGAGGTAGATCATCGTAGCGTCAGTCATAATGCTACAGGGGGAAAAGAAGCAAACCTACCAGATTCGACATGTCCAGAAACCATTAATATTCATTCAGCCTGTCTGCATTATGAGGATAACTGGGAGAAAAAAGAACAGCATTCCATCTTAGCAATTCATACAATTAAATAAGATCACATTTTACTGCCTCAGCTTAAAGATTTGTAAAGAAAAAACTTGCAAAGTATCAAAAGAAGTTTGAAGTCATAAAATGAAATTTTTAAAAACAGGACTACATTTGTAGATTCGATTTCCCATTACATGTGCATTTCAGAGTTTTAAACATTCACTTGGAGGGTTCAGCAAAAGGGGATTGAATAAGAATAACAATAAAGCAGTCAAATTTCCTAGCCTTATTCCACAAAACCGAGCAAACTAAATTTCTGTCATAATTTTGAATATTTCTTAAATATACTGATATTAGGACGGAATGAAAACAGTATAAAAATACAAGTCTTGCGTTTACTTTTGGTAATTTTTTGCAGCACCGCAAGACTCCACAGTATCACTGCACACCAACGTTAGCTTGAAGCTAACATGTTAAAAAGTCCGCTAACGGTCGGTCTCAATTTTTAAATGAGGTCAGAAAATTACTATTAAATATTACCGAAATTAGCTTGACATGGTCACAACCCCGAAGAAACGACAGGGAAAGTGGTTACCACTGTTCTGGATGCGAATAAAATGATTACTCCTGCTTTTTTCCCCCTCGGATCCGCCGGATCACAGAAAACCACAGGCTACTAACAGCCGTTAACCGCTCCAACCGTTACTTTTAGAATTTCTTAAAGAGACAGCAACCTTTAACTTGGAACGAAAAAATGCACCAACGTGTAATGAAACATAAAGTGTAAATAACATTTAAAAGACTGAATAAGGCCATTTTTGCTTTAACTACACAAATAAGAATCATTTTCAATTTAAAGGCAACCCACTATCTCTCTCTGCCATAATAATATGCTAGCTAGCTTTGACATGAAACCCAGCATAAGATTTCAGAGTACTGCCACTTGCTTACAGCACTAAACTTTCATAGCAATTTCTAATTATTTATTGTAAATGTTAAAAAATTGCCAGATTTTTTTTAGCAAACAAAATTATATAAAAAAATCTAAATTTATCATGCATATTAGTTGTGAAGATGAGTAAATATACAAACCTACTTATATTTCTATATTATGAGATATAGAAATATAAGTATATAGATGCAGTACACAAATATTTTTGTAGTGCATCATTTATAAAAGCCATTAAATCCTGCCACAATATAGTAATAATAATTGCGATTTTTAGATGAAGTAAAAATTGTTAATAAATACTAAAAAAAATTTTTTTGAACACCATTTTTGAAAAAAATAAATACTGGAAACTGTCATTGAAAGGAATTATACAATCTGATGTCAGCAGAGTAAATTCTGCCTGACAAACACAGATTAACACAAAAATGTGTTGAAATATTCAACACATACAGTGTGTTATAATGTGTAAATTTTAACACATTGTGTGTTAAAATGAACACAAAATGTGCATTAAAGGTAATAACACATTTTTTGTGTTGTTTTTTTAACACATCTGTTCTAAGAGAGTAATTAATAAAGTTTAACTAAACTGATAGCAGATTTTATGTTTTTACTTTTATTTTTATCTGAACAGTGTTTGATTCCCAACCTTTCTGTTGTGTTTCTTCGTCTTCATGATGTTTGTTAGATAAACTGGATTTTACTTAGAACTTTTTTAAAATTATAATCTTTTCACTGTGACTTACAATCCCAAGGGAATATAGTTTCTGGTTGTAATATGAGGACAAATGAGCAACATTTTAGCAGAAGATTTAACCTCTAAACCTAGTTTTAAATATTTAATCCAGTGGTTCCCAAAGTGTGGGGTGCGCCTCCTAGGGGAGGTGCACTGCCATTGCAGGGGGGAAGGGGAACCGAAAGCGATATGGATGGGGGAAAAAACAGTTACACAAAAGTGTTTCACTATAAAGATGGTTTGTAGTGTGTTTTCAAAATAATTCTGATATTAATCTCAGAATTATAACTTAAAAACTATTTCCAACTTTAATCTAATTTTTTTTCACCCCTTGTTGGTCTTAATCCAGATTAAAGGCTGGGCAATGTGACTTAAAAATAAAATCTCCAATTTATTTCAGCTGATTGAGAATTTTAGTAATTTTTTTTCTTGCTTTCTTTTCTGAAAAAGAAATAAAAAATATTTCTTGAGTTAAGAATTAGGATTAGGCTACGACAATTTTGGTTTTTATTAGATGAATATAGTCATGATATTAGCAGAATAAAGATGCAATTTTACCAGAGGAACATCTAATAATTACAACAACAAAAAATTAATGAGGGGAAAAAACTGTAATGATTAATTTTTTAAATTGTGTTGGAGTTCCACTAAAATTACTTCTTCATTCTCCTAATATTACGATTTTATTCTGTATTATTTCAAAAGAAAACAAAAATTAGATTAATCGATATAATCGATTGATTGCCCAGCCATAGCCAGACTTTTTAGTTTTACTTGTTAAAGCTGTTAAAATGAGCATCATTTATTTGTTATTACCGTCTTTTATTTTGCTCAGGTGAAACTGGGCTTTTGGTTGGAGAAATAACTCGGCGGTCTCCATTTGTCGGCTACGCCGGCAACAAGCAGCAGACGGAGAAGAAGAGACTTTATGACGTCATGAAAAAAGGCGATCTGTACTTCAACACCGGCGACCTGCTTCGGTTCGACCACGAAAAGTTTATTTATTTTCAGGACCGAGTGGGCGACACGTTCAGGTGAGTGGAGGCTCACAGGTTATCCATCCGAGACGAACGGAGACGCTGCCATCATCTTTTTATTGTTTCTGTTTCAGGTGGAAAGGTGAAAACGTCGCCACGTCAGAGGTGGCAGACATCCTCACTTTGGCTGCCTGCATCTTAGAAGCAAATGTTTATGGCGTTAAAGTGGAAGGTATAAAAATACTTTACTACACCAAACGGGACTTATTATGAAAAGTTTGCATGTTGAACATTTTTGTACTTCCATTTGTGTCTCTACCGCTTCTAAAAACGACATGCACTGTAAAAACACTTCTTACCAAGTGATTTTGGTCTAGTTTCTAGTGAAAATATCTTAGACTTGAAAAAATACTACCACAGTTTTACTGGCAGATTATTTCACATATAATGCGTGAAAAATGTCATTTTAATAAAATAATTTTCCAGTGTAACAGTACATTTTGTTAAATATGTACTAGTTACACTGGAGTTACATTTTACATACTATTTTAAATATTGAATATTTAAAATATTCAATATTCAGCTATATCTTGCTGAAAAGTTACTTTGAAATTAGTTTTGTCTTATTTCAAGAATATTAATATATTCTCAGAAGAAACCAGAACAAAATCATTGGTAAGATTTTGTTTTTTTTTTGCAGTGAAAGTGTTTCAAAAAACAGCCCAGCGATTGTTCGGCAAGAAGTTGATGTTTTCTGAAACCTCCTGGTTCTTGTGTCATACTGTGCCGTTACTTAGCAACCCCAGCCCTTTACCTAGCGGCTGCTGGAAAAGTTTTGTTGTTGACTCACTATCCAGAAACCACTTGCTGGATTCTTGTTTGGTTGTGCAGGAGGTTCCACTTCTGCTTTTCAAAGATGTGCTAGTTGCACCATCAGTTTGCCACCATTTTCACGTGAATGTGTTAAAGATGGTTTCCTCTCTCCTGCTTGTTCCTAACCATCAGGTCACGAGGGTCGGATCGGCATGGCGGCCGTCACTTTGAAAGAAGGAGAAACCTTCGACTCCGCAGACGTCTACAAGCAAGTCGTCTCCTACCTGCCGGCCTACGCAAGACCCAGGTTCCTACGGGTTCAGGTAAAAATGAAAAACCTGAACCTGAAGTGGGTCAGCCGCTTTACTCGTATCACTCAGCCGCATGGCAACTGCATCTAATGGTATATTTGTATTTACTGATATTTATTGATGTCTTTGTGGAACAAATAGTGGAGAAAATAGCAAATGTAACACTTCCAATCATACTGTCAATTTTTTAAAATAAATTTATGGCAATAATAAATAATATGATGGAATATTAGGGGCATTGGGAAAAAAAGTAAAATCATGAGAATAGTCATATTACTTTATTGCATTATTTCCACTTTATTCTTCTAATATTATGACTTTGTTGTACTTTTATGACTTCTCATAATTTTATTTTTTTACTTTTTGAGGTCAAAATTCTGAGAATAAATTTTTAAAAATTCAGAAACAAAGTCAATTTTGAATTTAAGCAGGAATTTGACTTTTTTCTTAGAACTTTGACTAGTCTCACAATTGTGACTTTTTTCTTAGAATTTTTAATTTAATCTCAGAATTTTAAGAAAAATGTCAAAATTCTGAGATTGAATTGAAAATTCTAAGAAAAAAAAAGTCAGAAGTTTGAATTTAATCTAAAGATGTTTACTTTTTAGAATTCTGACTAATCTCAGAATTGTGACTTTTTCTTAGAATTTTTAACGTAAACTCAGAATTTTAAGGAAAAATTCAGAGTGAAAATTCTAAGAAAGAAAATAAAAATTGTGAGATGAAATGAAAAAAATGCTAAAATTCCGATATTAAAGTCATAATTCTGAGAATAAAGTCAGAGTTCTTATGTTTTTCTAGTTGCTCTAATCCTCTTTCGTAATTACAGGAACATTTTGAGATCAAAAAATAATTATTTGACCTCAGCTGAATTTATAGACTGGTTTATTTACAAATAAGTGACTTCTTCTTTAGTTTGGCAGCTCAACTTCAGTGGATGTTAACACGTTTTCTTCCTAGATCCTTATTTGATTTTGTCTCTTCACACTAAAATGAAGTTACTTTTACTTATTTTTGGCATGAATGGAACCCTTCAGCTTCCTCTAGCTCCAGCCGTTCGATGAAGTTGTTGCTCTTTCGGAGTTTGGCCAAGTTTGTCCTGTTTTTGCAGCCGTCCCTGGAGATGACGGGGACGTTCAAGATGAAGAAGGTGAAGCTGGTGGAGGACGGATTCAACCCCGCGCTCATCAGCGACCCGCTTTACTTCCTGGACCCGGACCAGAAGACGTACGTCCCTCTGACGGAGGAGATCCACGGCGCCATCGCTGCAGGGAAAATGAAGCTCTAACAGAAACT